ATGAACCTGGGCGGAGTCGGGGACTTGACGCTGCGAGTCGGGGTGGGGGACTTGGGGGTCGGGGTGGGGGACTTCGGGGTTGGGGTGGGGGACTTGGGTACCGGGGTGGAGGCCGGGGTCGGGCTCTTCATGGAGGCCGGGGTCGGGGCCTTGGACGGGACCGGGGTGGGGGTTTTGGAGGGAGGGGCCGGGGATTTGGGCGGGACGGGCGTGACGGCGGGCGTGGCCGCTTTGGGCTGTCCCAGTCTGGGCTCCGGGATCTGCTCCCCGTGCTTGTAGACGCTGACGGTGATCTCCACGAACTCGCCGCCGTACTTGTTCCGCACGTTGATGCTGTACTTGCCGGAGTCTTCGGGGGTCACTTGGGTGATGACCAGACTGGCGAACTTGCCGCCGTCGAACGTCACCTTGGTGTGCTCGGTGGAGGAGACCTCCTGCTCGTTCTTGAACCAGGTCACCTCGGGAGTCGGCTCGCCCCACACGGTGCAGGTCAGGCTCAGGGACTGGACGGAGAGGACAGAGGGTCAGCTCGAGCCAACGTTTATCCAGATAAGGCAGGGGTGTCAAACTCGAGGGCCGCTGTCCTGCAGGTTTTAGAGGTTTCCCTGTTTCAGGACACCTGATTCACGTCAAAGAGCCATTAGCAAAGCTCAGCAATGTCCAGAGGAGATCCAATTTAACCAGAATCAGGTGTGCAGAAGCGGGAAAATGTCTAAAACCTGCAGGACTGCGGCCCTCGAGGACTGGATTTCGACACCCCTGAGATAAGGCCTTAAGCTCGGCCACAGGAACCAACGTAAGGCCCGTTCACATTGACACTAGGGATGTCCCGATCCAGTTTTTTGAACTTCCGATCCCTAAACCTAACCGGCCTATCAGAGCATGTACTGTATTAAAGTTTAAAGTTATTTATCTACTTACTTAGTTGTTAGACTTATATTGAACAGGGATTTACTCTGATAACAACTTAATGGTTAGGACACAGACCTGTGGGTTAGGAGATGCTAATGCTAATGCTAATGCTCGTGTGGGATCCGATCCAAATATCGGATCGGGACAAGCTTAATTGACATGGGACTTCATTTGACCCCTAATAATACCCACATGCTCCATTCAAATTTGTAGCCTGTAAGGTATTGTGCATCTTACCTGCCTGTGATCAAACGAACAGCTTTAATACAGATAAAGGCTACTTAGCACATTTTTTAAATCAATCTTAAACCAAAAGGTATCAGGTCTGATATTATGCCAGTTCTGCAGTGATAACTGATTTTCTGCCACCTTTTAACTTGTCTTGGCTTGTCTGAGATAAAGATCAAATCAAACGGCATTTCCTTTTTTTGTTTTCCAGAACTTAACCCGCAGTCGTCTTCCTAGAGGGCTGTAGCTTAAGAGGAAGAGCAACCGCCCACCAATGAGGCAGGCCACCTGTCAAAGTGTCCATGAATGTGCACAAGAAGAAAGGACTATGTCCACTGCGTGGACTAAAGTGTGTAATGAGGCTTGTATAGGGTAATTGCTTCGAGTAGATGGTTGATAGTACTCACATAGACTAGAAACGTGCTGTTAAAGTTTAGTCTGTTTACCAAATAATGATTAAATGATGAAATACTAGAATGAAAGATCACACATATGAAGTTTTCACCTTCTGTTCCATGATAGTGACCACATCAGGAAGACCACCAACCACTCTGCCGCGGTCTGAGAAGAGAAGCCAAATTATCATTCCCAAAATGCTTAAGATCTGAACACACCGATGAAAACTGTCCCAGTTCAGACAAGCTTCAAAGGGCAGGTTGAAAAGGGGAAAAGAATGTGACGCGGCATTCACTTTAGCTTTGCCTTAGAAGAAAACAACTTTCCTGAAAAACTAGTCTGAAAATGTTAAGAATGCCTTTGAGTTTCTGCATTATGTTTGGCTCATAACTGAGCCCAGATTCCCATTAATGAAGGCTCGAGTGGATACATTGATGTCATCTCTCATAAGCTCAACGACCGATCCACTTACTCTTCTCGGCAAATGCAGCAGCCCTGAAAGACAGAAGAAACTCAGTATGATTAACGCCATTTGAACTCAATTTGAATGCGCACATTCACGGCTGCTGGGTTATTCAGACTCACTTCAGCCTCAAGTACTCCTCATAGGCATCAGTGTATGCTGAGAAAGAAAGGGAAGAAAGAAGATAATGAATACAAAAAGGTAAAAAAATAGCTCTGGCAACTTGAAAAGATTTTAATGTTTTGGATTGCTTGCATTTCTGCATTTCTGACTACTTTGACGCAAACACAAAAAATATACAGTCTTCATATTTGTTTTCTATCTTACATCTATTCATCAATACTTAATGTGCTAATACACTCACTCAGAAACGGTAAAGAATGATAACATTCAGTAGAGAACACAATAAATGAGTGTTTAACATGTAAATGCAGATGTGGAGGAACATTGCTACCTTGTCCAGAGAGGTCAAACGTGCGGGTGTGGGTTGTGACGCCGTCCGAGATCTCAATGGAGTAGTGACCCTTCTCCTTGTCGGACGGGTCACAGATCTGCATCCAGGCCATCTCGGCCGTTCCACCGATCCTCATCTTCTCAGAGGAGGCGATCTTACTTTCCCTGCGGGTTTAGACCGCCAGTCAAATACAATCACATGTACAACGGGCAGTGACATTCTCTACACTGTTAAAAACTAAAGAAATTCAAAATAAATTAAAATAAAAGGTCCAGCTGGATGTCATAGCATTGATGGTTTATAGCAGAAGAGTGTAAATGAGCTCTGATTTTTATGGTGTATTTTTTTTTACAAGATGATGTGTAAAATGAGCTCTCATTTTAGTCAGAACCTGTAATTAAGTGTAACATGACAAACACTCATAGTGTTATAAGAATCATGATTGGTGTGTACAGTATGGCCTCTTTAACATCTGAGCCCCACTTATAATCATAAAACATAATTTACTGTGGAGAAACATCAAGTGTTTCCAATTGTGGGAACCAGCTGCTCACAGTAAGACGCTAAAGAACTTAAAAGAAAATCAAATCTACGGATCCGGGTAAAACTGCCACGCCGTACTTGTGCTTCCACACGGTCTTCATCTCCTCTGTGTAGTAGCTCATGTAGCACTGCAGCCTGATGCCCTCCGGAGTACACTGCATCACCAGTTCAGAGGCAGAGGCGCCTGACAGGAAACACACACACAAACACACACACCAAAACTCAACGCGAGAGCCTTCAAACACAGTCTGTCAGAGCTGAGGTAGCAAAAAAAGGTAATTTAACATGGGCTTAACATGGCATCTAGGCTCTATGAACCCAGTTTGAATGGCAAATGTGTGCAAAGGCTATAAAGGGGTTTAAGAGCCAGTCGATTCAGCCTACCGGCGATGCGGGCAATGGCGTTGATGATGTCATCAAACACTGCAAACCAAAGAGGAAAAAAAACGTGTGAAAACACAGAAAAAGATGAGAGATCAATTCACCGTGAGGGAAAAGGTACCTTGGCCTGAAATTTCAATCGTGGATGTGTCCTTTCCTCTGTCGTCACCCAGCACAGCCTTGTACACACCCTGATCTTTTCTGGAGAACTGAAGAGAAAAGATTACCGTAAGAGCGGGCGATGCTGTCATCAGTTCCAGAGAAAGAATGTCAGTCATGTGGTAGCTGTTAAACAACTTCATACTGTCACACACAATATTAAAAAAGCTATATTAGAACCTGTGGACCTTTGTCTCTGTGTCTGTACTCTTACACAGGATGGGACTGGATTTACTGACCGAAGGATGTTTTTCACATAAAGATGAGTGTGACAGTTCAAACATTTTAAAAATATGGTTTTTAGACTTAAACATGTTCTTTTTCTTAGTACTATTAAGCACACTCTCCTCATCTCTCACTTTACGGTTCATACATCTCTCTCAGCAAATTCGATGTAACACAAACCAACACAGAAGTGGAGCAGCCAGCTCTTTACAGGGTCCCCACACCGTTCAAAGTAAATGTTAGATTTAGAAGTACATGTTAAAATGTTACGTGTGTTTTCTGTAGGTTTGTTGTGTTAAAAAAAATAGAAAATTCAATCAAAGATATTGGAGAAAATAAAAAGTTAGATTTAGAGGTAACTCTAAACTAAGCTTAGTGGTGAGTGTTTATGGTGTAGTGTGTCTATGTGGCCCCGGGATGGGTGACCACCTATCCAGGGTGTAGCCGAGGACCGGGACAGGGTCCAGCCTTCTGTGATCATGCCATGAAACTTAGCCACAGAAACTAGATGGAGGTGTTAAGGGATGGGCATTTTTACCATGTGAAGAGGAAGAGAGCAGGCCCCGGACACGACGTTGGGGGGTGTCTCTGGAACGATCTCATCGTCCTCTTTGTACCAGGAGAAAGAAGTCTCCTTTTTCACGTTGGCCACCTGCCGAACAATCGGGATTGAGTCATTTCACTTGAGCAGACAAAGAAAGAAGGACTAAAGAAATGAAGACGAATGGGAGAAACACCCAGGGCATCCTTTAAGGGTTAAACCCACTGTTTGGTTACCTTGCAGGCCAGCATGACAGTGCAATCCTCAGTGACGGTGAAGTAGAGATACTCAGAGAAGTGTGGGCCTGCAATGGCGAGAACAGGAAAATCAGACCAACGATTTATGGAAGCGCATCGGTGGGGGTGATTCCAACCCAAACGGTGCTGGTCAAAACCTCCACAGCCATCATTTCAGATACAAAGTGTGCTTTTGAGTAAGGGAGTGCCGGTACCCTGCTTCCTGATGTGCTCTTTCCTCTGAAACTCGGCTGATTTCAGAGCAGCTTTGAACACTGAAACAGAAAAATGCAGGAAATGCTTCAGTTGTGTTTCCGTTCTAAAAACGCAAATCATCATTTGACACATATCGTCCACATAAAGTACGGTTGTTCGTGTTTAAAATGACTGAGGTTGTCTGTTATGTGAAGGGGCGGAGAGTCTTTTCTCTTACCATCTCCCACCAGGACCAGAGAGCTCTGGGTTTTGGCCTTGCCGTCATTGATCTGGACAGTGTAAGTGCCCTCGTTGGCTCTGGTGAAGTGTTCCACGGTCATCTGGATGACTCCTGAAGCCACATCGTGGCTGATCTTCTGACCCTGGGACAGAGAGGAAAAGGACAAAACTGACAATCGGGAGGAAGTTTCTCTACTGACTAAAAGCTAAAAGAAACTCTAAGTGGTTGAACTGCTCACTTTACATGACTGATGGAATCAAGAACCTTGTAGAACACCATCAATACAAGCAATAAAAAGGCACATTTACAGACATAAACTGGACCTCTTTTAATGAGTCACATGATCAAATGGGACATTTTTAATGGAGAAAACTGCAGTCATACAGGTGACTGCTTGGTGCCATCTTTGTTTAGTGTTGAGAGCTTTGCTAACTATTTAAGTTTATGTTTTCTGATTTATCAGAAAGTCAAAGACTAGGCCTAAACAGAGAGAGAACAGAAAGTCCAGCATACCACAGTCCAGAAGAGAAATCAATTGTTCTCCCAAAGTGTGAGCTGCCTTAATGTCATTCTGGATGAAGACAAACACACACAAGCCTCCACAACTCCATGACTCTGTGTGGACATCATACCTCACCACTGGTGACCTCTTTGTCATTAACAATGAACCTGTAGGACACGGATGGGGACAGTTTGACAGCTTGCAGCCAGAAGCGGACGTGGCCTTTCTCCAGAACCTCATAGTTCAGACCGTGTTTGAGAGGAACGACTGCGTGGACACAAAGACGTAGAGATGAAACCGGCCGGACCGAACGGGGGGGGATACCGGACGTGTCCACCCCCCTCTCCCATCATTCCCAACTCACCTGGGTGTCTGATGGCATGGCTGAGCTCGAGCATGGTGTTCAGAGCTGCGGGACAGAGACAAGAAAGACACGTGAGTCACGGGAGTGTCCCGGGAATAGTCAGAATCCGAGGGGATTTCAGCAAATCGGGACGTACCGTCCTCGGTCAGAGTGTGGCTGGCCGATACCCCGTCTGTGTCGGTGACCACCACAGAATACCTGCCCAAGTCGTCCTTATCGGGGCTGGTGAAAGTAAGCCTGGAACTGTCAAATAAACAAAGAGGCACAACAACTTTTCAGTGTCAAGCCAACAGGGAACCTGTCAAAAAGACTGTAATGGCTATGGGATTATCTTTTAATTCTGCCTGAACAGTTCTGTAACTTTTTATCTCCACTCTTCCCTATTGATTTGAATAATTTATTAATCTTTTATGTTTTTAATGACTTGGCTTTTGCTTTTGTGACTTTATGATATAAAGCAATTGAATTGCTTTTTGTACAAAATGTGCTCTACAAATAAACTAACCTTTTCCACCTAAGGACACTGAAGTTCTCATTTGATATTTGAAAAATGGCTAGAAAGGCTATTTTTGGAAAG